CCAAATTACTCTGCCGTTTTCTTCTTTACGTTAATAAAGATTTTCGTTTTCTTCATGACCCAATTTATAAATGGCCTACAAATGCCAAATAAAACAATATTATATCAGTATTTTTATGGAATATTTCGTAAAGAAACAAATTACCAATACAACTCATATTCATTCTTATTCTTTTGTGTGTCATCAAGGAAATAGATGTATCAATATTTATATCAATATATTTCCGAGATAGATGATGACATCATATTTTTGTCAGGAGAAGAACTCTGTCAGTGTTTTATTTCTAATTGATTAATTGTTTAATGATGTTTGACCATTTCTTGTAAAATTTAATTGACATTTCTTGAACACAGAAGGTAAATATACGTTAGAAATTTTAAATGAGACCATGAACCAATCAATGTTAGACCACCACTGAAAACCTAGCAGCACTCAACGACCATTTTGTCCTCGTATGGGACTCCTCGGTAGTGTGTATCCACAATCCTGCATGCACGATTCATGATTTTAATGAAATTCATCAGTCTATACAACACTAAACTGCTCACTTTTGACAAGCATTGAGAAGGAATGACTTAAAGCTATGGTGAGAAGCCGTGAGCAGTGGAGTTCAACGTTGTTGAGTGTAAGACAGATGCCCACTGAAGACAATGGAAGATGGTAGTGCGACATCGTAGATTGGTTGAAGTTAGACATTGACACCGCTGGATATCAGCTTAGTGGTCTAGAGGTTAAATGTTCACGCGCGAAACCAAAGGTCCTGGGTTCGAGTTATGCGTGAGGAATCGTGGATGCGCACTACTTAAGAGTCCCACACTGGGACAAAACATCTATCTAGTTCCTATAGGTGCATATGGTGGTCTAACATCAGTCGGTTCATGATCTCAATTAACACTCAACAATCTTCACAATCCTATTCTGGTAAGTTTGAAATTGTTTTACTTGGAGATAATTGCAAATATTACACCATATGAAGGTGTATGTTGCAAAACACAATGAAAATAAAATCTCTAATGATTCTTAAAACTATTTCTTTGGTTTAAAAAATAGTGATAAATTCTTCCAATAAATCAAACAACTGTTTATTACTTCTATGTCAATACTTAACAGATTAAAGAAAGATTTCTTTGATCAAACAACAACTATATAGTGGTAATTTGTGAAGTTACAAATCTTTAAACAGTGATTAGAGAAATAAAAACTTTGGCGAACAGTTGATAAAACAGTTTAAATGTGTGGGATTTTTCTTTTTGTTTTCAAAAGATTTGTGAAACGAACTAATTCTATGAAATATTTTCATTAAAAACTTACTAATTTAACTATCTTTAAAATAGGTGTTCCGATTTTCGGTGTTAACATTGATCGAATGTAGTAAGTGTAAACTTAAGTCAATGTTAGTGTTATCAATTTACGCTGACACTTAAAATAAACGAATTCTCTGAACACAGTTGTATTTGAACTGATGATTTTTTTTCAGACACTTAGACAATTTTCATGGTTTGATTTCTGTGAAAATAGTGTTTACATGAAACTTTATCAAACACGAAAATGATAAACAAAATTTAGTCCAGAAGTTATTTTAAACTATAACTTATCAACTTCACTATATTCTATCCCTTTTAATTGTTCTGTAATCCATTTCTTAAGTATTATTATTACAATAATTATCATTTATAGAAAACTAACATTAGAATATTCGAATTGGAAAACATTTAGGAATTTTAAACAATTCAAATCTCATGTTTACCACGTAAATAAATAAATAACAATGTTGAGTTTAAACAACCTATGACAATAAATGACTTTCTGCCGAATTCTAATTTGCTCCCTTTCCTCAAGTAGTTTAATTAGAATAATATATATGATAAATTTAGATTCTTCATGATAATTTTCGAAACAACTTTGATTTATTAATTTCACTGGTAGTAGTAGTAGTAATAGTAGTAGTAGTAGTAGTAGTAATAGTAGTAGTAGTAGTAGTAGTAGTAGTAGTAGTAGTAGTAGTAGTAGTGGTAGCAGTAGTAGTAGTAGTAAGAATAATATTGTTTGCATAAAATTAATTGGTCAACATAAGTGTTACTTTTAAAAATAATAAAGAATTATTAGTTACTTATTGATTTTTTTTCGTTTATTGTTTGAAAGTATAAATGAATAAGTGATGCTTATGCAATTTGTTTAACTTGTTAATATGATGAAAGGAAAAAAAGGAAATAAGTGATAGTGACGCGGAACAGAGAGAAAGAGAGGCGAATTTTCATAATATGATTTAACGAGGAAAATACAATCTTTTCTTTACCATCTTCGCGGTTATTTTATATTTAATCGTTTTATGTTACTTAAATTAATCACTAATCATATGGTATTGAGCCTTTGCTACTTTCATTTCAAGATTTTATAAATAAAAAAATCGCAAAGTAGTCGTCAAAAATGATTTTGGATATCATTGATTCTTTAGACCGTAATGTATCTGGTTAATAAGAGTTTTATGAAATGAAATAAATAGTTCGCAAGTTTAATACGTATTTTCTTCACGATTAATGAGTATTGATTTTAATGGTTTAATCTAAGCTGTAACACCAACCACTTCGAAACTATGGCAAATTGTGAGGAATGTTTCCAAAATAAAAATAGAAAAATATTTATTTGGTCTTATTTTGAATGACTGAAGGAATTTAATTTCAGTAGAATTTTGATTTAGGCCTATTTTTCACATATTGCTCTACCAGTATGTTGCATTACAAACTGAAGTCTGAGTAAAATGACTTACAAATCATTGATTTGGATGATATGGGTTAAGTTTAACTAGTACAGATATTTCAAGTTGATAGTGTTTAATTGGAATTACAAGAAATTGGTGGAACTCTTTTCATCATACAAAACTATATAGACTGTTAAAGAGGAAAAATGTATTTGTAAAATTTCAGCGAATGAATTTGAAATACAAATACATTCTTCTTCTTTAATGCATCACATCAACTCGATGCTCAAATACTGTGAAACTATTCGATCAAATTTACACGAAATTTCTTATATATAGACTGTTTGTATTGATCATATCCATTATTGTGAACTAGATAGACATGTTATCATTAAGCGATAAATGTTCTAAATCCGCATAAACTAAATTAATAATAAATAACTACTACACAGAAATAATCAAATTCATACCCACTTTCGGTTCTTATATAACTTTTCTAAGTTTTCAGAGCTTAACCTAAAATACTTACCCCATTATCCTTGAAACAACCAACTTATTTTTTTACATCTTGGCATAGAGTTTAAAAAATATGAAAGTCTAAGATATATTATAGCTATCAAAACCCTATATTATCTAGTGTTCTGAAGAGAATTACTCCAAATGGTATTAAGAATTTGTCTTGAAATCTCTATTAGTATTACTTTACTTGTTAGGCAGTCAAAGTTAGAAATGAGGGAATGACTTTCATTTGACTTCTACTTGGTTTAATTGTAAATAATTAACATTTCTTAGATTCTAGTAAGCTACTTGCTTTCATACATATAATATTAGTTGAACTATTGTCTCGTTGAACTCCCTTCTGGTCACTCAAACAATCAGATGTGTCTCCAAAATATTGTGAACATTGTTCAGTCTTTGGTGAAAGATTTGTAGTGACTCACATTTATCACGAGAACACGACTGGTTTAATAAAAACAATTATTATTATAACCAACTGTACCAGTGACTGTTTTAATGTGCTTTTGTTTGACTGTGCTAATGAAAGCTATATTGTGCTTCCATTCTTTTACTCACACTTTGATTGTAACTTCGCGCGAATTCGGTTACCTTCTGTAACCAAGGTTGTATCCTGGCACGATCTCGGTATCCTTTCGATGCCACGAGATCGCCAGCAAATAAACATCGACCTGGTCCATTAATTGCCTTCTGATATTTGGCTTCTCAGGGATTTTATGGATCTATTTGGTTACGTCCAACCCTCGCCTTCTGATTCATTTGGCACGTGTTTCTTGGTAGCGGTGTTCATAGTTAACCTCAACTCGACGCCACGCTACAGATTGTTTAAGTTTTCAATCCTTTGTTTTGTATATAGAGACAAACTTTGATTAAGATGCTAGTTTGCTCATCTGTTGTGTTTTGCACCCAGAGAGGTAGGTATTATACCCTAGATTTATGATCTATACAACTCAAGAATAAACACATGATACATATCTACATACGTGCACACGCCACCACTTTGTCTGATCTGTCAATGCAATAATAAATAGAACCGGTGTTACGTTGTAGTGTTGAAGATATTAGAATTCTTGGGAATACTTAACAAATTATCATCGTTCATATTTTTATCACAGAATTATTAAATGTCGGGATTACTGAATCTCGATTTTACGTGTACTGTGAGCTGCCTTTGGACTTATTAAAGATTGTCATGTAGTTTCTTGGTTCTTGACTGGTGTTAATGAATTATGCACAGCTTGCTCCGTTCTTTGCCCCATATGGGATGGTTGTGTTTAAAGCATGATTTCTTTGAGGTAACTTGCGGTCCCATAATTCATGCATTTGTAGTGACTCACATTCATCACGAGAACACGACTGGTTTAATAAAAACAATTATTATTATAACCAACTGTACCAGTGTTTATTTTAATGTGCTTTTGTTTGACTGTGCTAATGACAACTATATTGTTCTTCCATTCACTTACTTACACTTTGATTGTATCTTCGCGCGAATTCGGTTACCTTCTGTAACCAAGGTTGTATCCTGGCACGATCTCGGTATCCTTTCGATGCCACGAGATCGCCAGCAAATAAACATCGACCTGGTCCATTAATTGCCTTCTGATATTTGGCTTCTCAGGGATTTTATGGATCTATTTGGTTACGTCCAACCCTCGCCTTCTGATTCATTTGGCACGTGTTTCTTGGTAGCGGTGTTCATAGTTAACCTCAACTCGACGCCACGCTACAGATTGTTTAAGTTTTCAATCCTTTGTTTTGTATATAGAGACAAACTTTGATTAAGATGCTAGTTTGCTCATCTGTTGTGTTTTGCACCCAGAGAGGTAGGTATTATACCCTAGATTTATGATCTATACAACTCAAGAATAAACACATGATACATATCTACATACGTGCACACGCCACCACTTTGTCTGATCTGTCAATGCAATAATAAATAGAACCGGTGTTACGTTGTAGTGTTGAAGATATTAGAATTCTTGGGAATACTTAACAAATTATCATCGTTCATATTTTTATCACAGAATTATTAAATGTCGGGATTACTGAATCTCGATTTTACGTGTACTGTGAGCTGCCTTTGGACTTATTAAAGATTGTCATGTAGTTTCTTGGTTCTTGACTGGTGTTAATGAATTATGCACAGCTTGCTCCGTTCTTTGCCCCATATGGGATGGTTGTGTTTAAAGCATGATTTCTTTGAGGTAACTTGCGGTCCCATAATTCATGCATTTGTAGTGACTCACATTCATCACGAGAACACGACTGGTTTAATAAAAACAATTATTATTATAACCAACTGTACCAGTGTTTATTTTAATGTGCTTTTGTTTGACTGTGCTAATGACAACTATATTGTTCTTCCATTCACTTACTTACACTTTGATTGTATCTTCGCGCGAATTCGGTTACCTTCTGTAACCAAGGTTGTATCCTGGCACGATCTCGGTATCCTTTCGATGCCACGAGATCGCCAGCAAATAAACATCGACCTGGTCCATTAATTGCCTTCTGATATTTGGCTTCTCAGGGATTTTATGGATCTATTTGGTTACGTCCAACCCTCGCCTTCTGATTCATTTGGCACGTGTTTCTTGGTAGCGGTGTCACAGTTAATCTCAACCCGACGCCACGCTACAATTGGTAATCCCAATTCGAATACAATTGGTGATCCCAAAGTTTGGAACACGCCTCAACTTCTGCTCAAATCTTCCAAAGAAGCCAATTCGGTGAGTCTATGATTTATCTATCCACGTCTGTCGTGTATTTTCATATTTTTTAATATTTAATATACACGACATGACGGATAACGATAAGAATAGTATTAATATAATAGACTCACATGTACGTGTACCGAATCCTTGTTACTTTTTATTCGCGTGACGATGAATTCCACGCTCTACTCGAGAAATTTTCCCCTACTAACTATTCTCCTCGCTGACCCGGCTGCTTGGTACGGAATGCATACGCATAAGCATATCCGTCTACCACCCAGCACCAAATGGTTAAGTTGAACGGTTTCACTGCCAACTTAAGTGTTCTACGAGCACACGAAAACGGCAACTGGCACGAAATTTTACCGCTCGTTCTTTTAGGGGTGAGAACGAGCTTAAAGGCAGATATCCAATGTTCCGCCACTGAACTTGTATACGGCACGACATTGCGTCTGCCAGGATAATTCTTCACACCATGGAGCAGACCTAATTTCGGTAAATCAGACTACGTCCATCGACTGTCTGCATTTATGCGAACGCTGTCTCTGGTGTCAACTCGAATACAACATCGACAGATCGCTCTCCCTCGAGAGTTATCTACCTGTTCACATGTTTTTGTACGAGTAGATTCGGTACGCAAACCTTGACAACAACCTTACGAAGGCCCTTTTCACGTGATCGCTCGTCACGAAAAGACCTTCAAGGTTGATCGATATGGACGCGTCGAGATCGTCAGCATTGATCGTCTCAAACCAGCACACGTCGATGACAGTGCCCTATCTGACGCCCTGAGATTCAATGCTAGACCCATCAAACTCACTGGCGGGATCCTCAAACCATCTTCAGGTCCCACGCTAAATACACCTGAGACCTCATTCTCATGTCACAGTCAACAGCACGCGTCATCTGCACCGTCTACGGACGAGACGATAGTCTCACGTCCAGATCAGCAGACCACGCCGCCCTTGACTTCGGATGAGATTGCGGGCTCACGCGACGCGAACGAGACTACCGTCTCACGTTTCGGTCGCCGAGTACGGTTACCCGTTCGCTTCAGCGACTAGCCGCACAGTCAACAACCGACACGGTGTGGGACTATTCCTATACTTCATGCGTGCTACAGTCTCCTCTTTTTGATTTTTTTTCTGTGTCCAGAGCCCACGCCTCCGACCATCCCCGTCTGGTACCGTCGACTTCAGTCAACTTTGGCGAAAGCTAGATTGGCCGCTCACGCTCCTGTCAACGCACTCAGTCGATATTTTGGTTTCGAATACTTGGCATACGCTTGGCCTCGAACTTGGTCGTTATGATCGCTTCTGGTCCTTCGGTTTAACGTGGTTTCGTCCGATGTCTGCAGCGTTTTCTGGTCCGGGCCCCTACAAACGCAATCTTCAGATTCTGGATACAAACTACTCTGGTGTAGTATGCCAACTCAAGCAACAAATACATCACATCGCTCCTGGTACCGTTCTCCGAAAAAAGAATTTCGTTGGCAACTCGACGATCAACGATCGCTTTCCTGTTCCGCCAATTCTTCTGTCCTACAATCGCTCGTCAACCGATCAGTCCCACGATTTAAACCGCTATTTGTTGAAAGTGTAAACCCTTTCTAGCGGGGGGCCCCTGTAGTGACTCACTTTTATCACGAGAACACGATTGGTTTGTTGAAAACAATTATTATTATAACCAACTGTACCAGTGACGGTTTAATATGCTCTTTGTTTAACTGTGCTAAAAACATCCATTAATCTTACACTTTGATTGTGATCTCACGCGAAATCGGTTACGTTCTGTAACCAAGCTTGTATCCTGGCACGATCTCAGGATCCTTTCGATACCATGAGATCGCCAGCGTATATATCCCGATTTGGTCCATTAACTGCCTTCTGATATTTGGCTTCCGGGGGGATTTATTTGGTATATGTTTCTCTGTCTCAGTGTTCGTAGTCAATCTCGACTTGACGCCACGCTAGAGACTTGTGATGTCCTCATACTCCGTTAACGTAGAAAGGAAAATAAAGGGGACCTAAGTGCTTTGAGATACACCACTTTCAACTCCCATCAAGATAATGTCCCATTCACCCCCACCCTTTATTTTCGAATACAGATGGAGTTTCTTATCCACTCTTGTAAAGTACTTATTACTCCAAGTTTGAAGAGACTCTGCATGTGCCCTAGGTCAGAGATCTCATCGAAGACTTTGCTAGAATCGATAAATATCACATCGACAAGCAGGCCGTATCCATTGACACCTGTCCAATCATTTTCGAAATCAGCAAGTTAGTTTAGGATTAATGCTTAACTCGGAACATATATTGGTTAGCTAACAGAATGCATGATTCTGTGTGGCTTGGTAACTCTGCCCGAATTATTTCCTCAAGTAGCTTGACTAATATGCTGATAGAACTGACAGGTCACTATATAAACACGAATGATTTTTTTTTCACGCCTAAATATAGGATCAAAAACACTATCCTTCCAACACCTAGGGAGATGAGTTTCGGAAAGAGACATGAATAGCACCATTGTGAGTGGTTCTGAAATAGTGTCTACAAGGAATGATCACATTCTTGGATGCAACCTCTCAGGACCCGGTAACTTACTATATCTGAGGTTAATGGGCAGTTGTGAAGGCTTTTCAAGTCACGTGTGCTGGTCCTATAGCTGCTATTGCAGTGATGCTGTTGTAAGAAGTAGTGTTAACAAAACTCATAGAGTAGACCTGGTGATACATATTCAGCTTTGCTAATATAACGTACTGTTTGTCAGTGACATCGTCACAGTGGTGTCTAAACACTAAATTCAGCAATGATGGTTTATGTTCTAAGTCAATATTTGCCGCTCTTGCGGTGAATTGTACAGGTGCGCATTGAATAGTAGTTGTCAGTAGGAGCCGTTAAAGAAGTTATAAGCTCTATATGACTTGTGTGAAGAGCGTTGAAATCTCTAGAGATGAGGCAATGAGTCGTACTACACTCGCTGATATGACTTTAGCAAAGTTGTCAGCACGACAACGTACGCTGTGGTATGTTCCTAACGAGGTCACGACTCCGTATATGGACTAAATTGTCCAATAAGCTACCTCACATGCGCCTCAATTGTGCGTCTTCGATTCACTCGATTTTACTAGTACATAATATCAGGCTTCCTCCATTTTAATTAAAAAATTTACCACTTCTAATACAAAATTCGCAGTGTTCAAAGAACGGTCTACATCTACAATAAGCCACACTTCTGTAACAACATTTATATCAGGACCCAGTTGTTCCATCACTAAAATTAGCTAGTACGTTCTAGTTCAAAACTACGAGCGTCTGTGTAGCACACGCATCTTTTGTGCAATATTGTTATCGCTAAAAGTACTGCGAAACCATTCGTGAGAAAAACCCATATAAACAGAGTCAGTTCTGTGTGTTTCGGACTGTGGTTGTATGCACAAATCCTAAATGCAGATAGTTTAGAGCATGATCCGATGCACACAATAGGGACAACGCCCGAGAAAATAAAAACAAGATAAAGCACAGTAAGCTGTGGGCGTATTTTTTAGATTTTGCGAGTAGTTAAATCCTTGAATTGATTGTTGTCTAAAGTAATTTAAGCCACTTTCCATGAGTCATCCAAGAGGAAAGTTCACATATTATAGAGGACTCAGGACAATATTTCGCAATTTTTGAATGTTTTTCCTACGTTTATTGGATGTATATGAGTTTGAGGAAGCCACAGTATCGGGAGGTTGGTAACGGCCTTACCAGTAACACCTTTATAATCGAAGTATTTCAAACTAGTCGAATCAGAAGTTAATAATAAAGAAATTCAAAGGTATATTTGGAAGACTGTCGGTATGTCGAAGGAAGCTTGATTTAAGCTGGCTAATAGTTGGACGGGATGTGTAACACAGTGTATCCACTTTTGATATGGCGTGGATGCGAGACTGAGAGCGTTCATGTGGGTAAGTGCAGTAAAACTAGTGAAGTTAGCATCACATATTGACTTACAGAGCTACTGGATTCGCAGATTTATTTACCGCTGCAGGTTCTTACCTGGAGGCACTGGTGATCCACTGCTACCAGATGCGGAAGCCCGTTAAGTCAGAGATTTTTCTGTTCAGCACATAATCATTCCTGCAATTCAGGTTCGGTGATTATCTAAAAATATAAATTCAAACAAAGAAAAACCATACGAAAGAGAACGACGGGCATACTTCTGACATAGACACTACATAAAACTAACTGTGACCGTAACTTAGTTTTATTAACGCAAAAACATATCATAACATAGCAAGTGAGTAGAAAAGCCAAGAACGAACAAAATACCCGTGGCATACAGGTTTTCACACCGAGTCATCAATACTTGGAAACTGCTGCTCGAAGCAGTGGTGTCCGCACTTTCAACTGACTCTTTCAAGATAAGACTGGACACTCACAGAAGCATACTAGAAAAGGAATAACATGGGCCGTGGGTCTTCTGTCCTAACCATACAAATGTGAATCTGAATCTGAGAGCCTTGCAAATTAACCGCGCAGACCAAACTCAAGGTTAAAGGGTCGTGAGTGGCATTACAAGTATCCACATTAATCGATCGGTGAGACAATTCGAAGTAACCGTATTTGATGTTGTACAGCACTTTATAGTTTTTATATTTATACCATACTGTTTTTTCATCATTAAAGTGCTGAGAAAGCTCATATGGTTTCGGTGATGTTCCCAATCTCCCAAGTTTAAGGAAATTTTGAGGAAACCTACAAAGTCAAATGACCTTCACCAAAGTTAAAGGAGAATTTTTGGGAAATTTTGGAGTTTTGGTGCCATTTCCCCAAATTTACAATAGCGGTTCCTCCAAAATTTTCCCTGAAATTGGGAGCTCGAGTTGATCATCCGTTTCTACAGTATAAGATACTTCATTTCTCTTTTAGCATAGTTTCAACACACCTTAAAATCTCACTGCCCTTTGAGCTTGATTTTTATAACTTTTTAGTTATTAATGTGATCCTACAATGCCTTGTCATCCCATGGGACAAATGTTTATTGCGTCTCACTCTCAGGTTTAAAAACTGTACTAGAGACAATATCAAATTTACAGTCTGAGCGCTACAACTATTACTTTTTTGTTGTAATAGGTCTTGTTAATTACTTCGGGGCACCATAAATTCACTTTGCGTGTCTGTATTTTGCATATCCCTACTACTTTTCCCTCAACTAGAGTAATGGTCAGCTGACAGTTATTGCTAAATGGTACAAAGACCCTCTGACAATAATTTGAAATCTATAAAATCCTTCAGTGTCCTAGTGCTTTAGTGGCTTTATATCTATAAAAAACTGCATGTTAGGCCACTAATCATTGAAAAGTAGTGTGTTGAGTGCTACTCAAAGGTCAGTAATGGTTCACGAGCCTTTCAAATAATCTAACTATGACTGCGCTTATAGTCTGCCCCTGCCATATATTAAAGGTATAAATCCTTTTATGGTAAAAGAGAATTGGTTCTAATGATCAAATCTACGGATTACCATCCACGTCTCAACACTGTGGAAGTTTAGATATCGCGTCTTAGTACGGCATTAGCAACTGAGAAACTGCCAGTTTCGTCCATAGCTTTTACAGCCATTTGCGTTGCCTACACTAAATCGAAACTATTTGATCCCTTTTTGTAGAATCTGTTTTATACTCCAAATGGATGAATTCGAGGAGTACAGGTATGTTACTTTGTTTTCATATCTCAGTGATTTAGAAATCCACTTACTAAGAGATATGCAAGCCGTGAAATGGTGTGCAATTTCGGAGAAAAGCGAAAGGTAATCATCTGGCGTCAACTGTGGATATGGTTAGCAGAAACACAAAAAGAGTTGGGATTCGATATCACAGGTAGACTATCATCAGACTCTAGTTGGATGTGTTTATTTTCTATTGACTAAGATGGAATCTTCATGTGTTTACGAATGCCAATGATGGACTAAGCTAATTTTTTACCTAATGTATCTGTAGTTAAGGAATCTCACATCTTGATTCGGGAACTAGATTAGCTGTAGTAGTTCACACAAGTCGAAATCGTTTTCTGCAGTACTTTATTCCCTGAGTTCATGTAATATTTACAGCATCAAACTAAGTAATAAAACAGTATGTAGTAATTTCTGTCTTCATATCCTTCATTATTATATTTAAAATTACACCTAATAGTGATTGTAGATAAGCCTAGTACATGTGCCACACTTTTTTTCATGCTACCTGTAGATATGATAATTTCTCGTATTGGATATCAGTTAAGCGAAAGGTTAAAGATTATAAGAAGCAACATACTCCATTTCATCAAGGTTCAGCACTATATATATATATATATATATATATATATATATATATATATATATATATATATATATATATATATATATATATATATAGTGATCAACAGTGTGTGGTTTAATTCCTTCAAACCTTATTCAGCACTTTGTCGTTTAGTATTTTTCCTAATCTATTTGTGAAGTGACATTCCATGCTCATATTGTACTTGTATTGCTTGGGCTATCTAGCCTATCTAGTTCAGTCAGTCAGTCAACTTTTACCCTTCTTGATGCATTTTTCATACCTATGTCTTGTATCTAAATTATGCATTTCTCCGCTCACAGGATTGTTGTTTTATTATATGACTCTCCAACACTGATTTAGACGAACAGATTGATGAAATGAAAAGTCAAAGGGATTTAGTCGATTTTGGGACTGCCGCAGCTGAAGAAAAGGCTCGGCGACATGACGTGATGGCGCATGTATACACTTTTGCTTTAGCTTGTCCAAAAGCTGCACCAATCATTCACCTCGGTAAGTTTACGTGTTAAATATTATTTTTAGTTAATTGGTTATGATGTTTCGAAAATATTTTATCTATTTGAACACGTAAACATTGTTACAAGGGGGCGCCAAATATATATGCGCCACACAATAACAATGAAGCCAGTAGTAGTTACCATTGATTTCTGTGAGGGCTGCGATACTGCCTGGGTGTCGAAACCGGAGCAGGATTTATAAAACAACATGTTAGTTTCATTTTTAGTAAAACCTGGCAATATAATCAGAGTTCAAACCATATACTGGGACATAAGGCATGCCTACTTTGTGTAAAGTAAGCTCAATTGGTGGATGCATAATAAAAACGTAATCCATGGCTTTATTATATACACAGCTTAAACTAAAATTATGTGCAAATCCAGTTACAAGTCGTGTTTACTACCGATATTTTTAAGTAGTAATGTGTTTTTGCTAAGGAGAATTTAGGCTATCTAGCTTCTATAATCACATACTAGTTCGTTTTTTTCAAGGATAACCTTGATAAAATTGTCCTGATCCATACTCCCACAATGACTTTTACTAACATCTGACTGGTTGTCATCATTTTTAGATTGCCAACTTTGCATCCAAAAGTCACTGGACTTTACCATGTAGACAGAGTTGCTCCATTCCAATTTTTGACTTCTGTTGGGAATATGAAGCTATCCTGAAAGCATATGCATTATTAACGCAGAAGCATCGTTATGTCAGGCATCAAATTTTCATTCGTTTGCGTTCGTATCGGTAGAGTTCCAATTGTTTGTAATCAGAATTGACCGTTAGGCTGTACTGGAGACTAAATTCTGTTGAGGTCTAACAATCATTCGCAGTTTGATTTCAAACTGTTAACCAGATTGCAATCGATCTCCTAATTTTCAGTTCGTTACCGTGATCAAATCGGTGATTATATCCCGCCTTTTGTTAAATATAGTTGGTTTAATGGTCGTATTACTGTACACACGTTTCTGTTCATTTGATAGGGATATCTCTAGCAGTTGGTAGCCTAATAACAGTATCCCACTGTGTTGTGTTGAACATGCTTCATAAGTCACAAGAAAATAAGAGGATCTAACTACTACAGGATGTTCGTAAGAATATTTGTATTTTAGGGCCTGAAGAATAAACATCATTTTCGAAAAGTAATGAAAGCCTGTATCAAGCGGGATTTCAGGTTATAAGAATGGAAGGTTGTTTCTAAACACTATTCGACCTGTCTTTCTGGCCGGTAATATCTGCATGCACGCAGTACGTAGTGATAATCAAATATTATAAAGACTTCTGCTCAACTGTTTGTACAATTTTAAGATATAAATGCACTTGGAATAAAAGGTAATATTGTTTGTCTTCAAATATTATTGTAATCCCTAACAACTTACTTGCGAGCTCATTACCATAAATATGCTATAAAAACTGACACTAATAAATTTAGTTATAGGAAAAATAGTTCGATGAAAATACATTAGTTTTAAGCCAGTACCGCATATGATTGTTATTGCTTCTGTAAGTAGTGTCTCTGTAGAATGTAGCGTTATTGATGTTTAGATTCACCCTTCAGATTTTTAATTCTCAAAATTATTCTTGGAGCTCTTAACGCCAAAAATTAATCTAACTTTACTATGAAGTGTTCAAAGGACTGAAATGCTCTCACATGGCCACGTGCATACAGCCACCGTCAGAGAAGTCTTTCTCACTGCCTTCTCGTAATGGAAGTCTTGTGTACGGGATCGAGAGGACGAAAAGTGAATGTCCGGCGCTTTAACCGGTTTTGTAGACACGGAGAGTCCACCCAGGGAAGTTGAAAAACCCTGATTCCAAACCAATAATGGACATGGGCTCCAGGATCCTAAGGAAACAAATGGTATGTGAAACTATTGTTGATCACCAGCTACCATGAGACTGCACTTCCTAATGTTGCTCCACTGTCTTATGGACTGGACCTCTAGGTCAAAGGCTCGGGGTGTGACTTCCTATGGAAACCACCTGTCTCGGTTTGGGCGCCCGGGCAATATTCCGGCCTTCACAAAAATCGAATGATAAAGTTGTGGCGCATATGTATTTGGTACCCCTTGTACCAGTGTTTATTCGTTTAACTGATAACAATAGGAATAAGAATAATGTAACAACCCATATGGAATGCACTAATATTGCAATTCTTTGTGTACTGTTCCATATTTCTGTTTACTGAACACAATATAACGTAGTTACTCATTTCAAAAAATTCCATAATGGATAATACACTACACCACTTTTTTATTTGGTGAATGTATAATTGTCAATTAGATTTAAGGTTCTCAATCTCTTATATGAAGATGAACAAATTTGTAGTATGTAAAGGTTATCTAGTCAGTAATAACGCTGTTTCACTGCATGTAATCGAACCATACGTGTTTAGTTCTATTCGTTTATTCATGGGATCCATTTGTGAATGAAATAAATTAGCCGATAGTTCTGAACCATCAAAATATTGAAGTCCAGTTTCTTCTCTCAGAGTTTTCAGGTAGTCGTAAACCTGAACAATATTATCCCCTGAGGTTTTTTTCTGTTATATGCAGATTTAAGTTCTTAATCTCCTTTTCAAAACACAAACATTATTTTTAGCAAACTACGTTTTAATTAATTAACACGCACATATTTATGTATATCACTGATATTGTCTGGTTTGGTTTTAATATATATACAGGTGCAACATCATGTTTTGTTGGTGATAATGCCGATTTAATCATGCTTAAGGATGGTTTAAATATACTTTTACCGAAGGTTGCTAGATGTATTGACCGGTTAGCTAAAAAAGCTATGTTGCACAAGAGTTTAATATGCCTCGCTCGCACCCATTTGCAACCCGCTCAACCTACTACAATGGGTCGTAGAATATGTATGTGGATACAAGATTTGTTATTAGATTTAGAGAATCTAGAAAGGTTGAAGAACCATACAATTCGTTTTCGTGGTGCTAAGGGTGCAGTAGGAACTCAAGCATCTTTTATGGATCTATTTCAAGGTGATCATCAAAAGGTTAGCTTACTTACTCTTGTGTCTTTTTATTATTCCATGATTATTCGTTCAAATAAAATATATTGTATTTCGAAAGGATTCGGATACTTGGCTCTGGATTATTCCGGTCTACCTCCAAATTATTCTGCCTTAACTTACCTAACGTCTTGTGGGATCCCAAGAGAGCAATGAATACAGTTCTTGAATTACTGTCATTCTTCAGGGTTATCGTAAAAATACTGTCAAAAGAAAGTCTGGCCTTATTTAACTACATATATTTTATAGTGTTCCTATCTTCTTCTTTGGCGACTATGTATTTTACGGCCATCGTACGAAATGCTTTAGTTTAGTTGTGTAGAGCAATCATTTTCATATTCTCCGATAATTAATGCCTATCTAGTGGGGTAATCTTACAGCACCAAAGTAATAATGTGCCCCTGTTTCGGAAATGCTCCAATTTCAGGGTGAAAATGATTAAGGTTTTTAGAATATATCTTGTTATATCTAAACAAAAACTGAAATGGCTCAACACGAGGAAAATGCAGAAAGATTATATATGAAGATTTATCGTGTCAAAACAGATCAAAAACCATGTCCGAATATACTGAGTTATATATTTTTTGCCTATACTAATCAATATTCGAATTTGAATAAATCGAATTGGGTAATACTAGATATTGATTATTCGGTAACTTAATATCCAGACACAATTTCCATCATTAAATTGGATTTTTATTATTAAGGAACGTAACTATCTTACTAAGGTACATCATTACTCCATACTAACACCTTCCCCTTTTCACTTGAATTGATATATATATATATATATATATATATATATATATATATATATATATTCTTTTAAACCTTTTTGTAATGTCCTAGATATGAATTATGTTAGCGTCATGTAGCGGCTATTTATAGTGAATTCTATTTTACAGGTTATCAAATTGGACGAAATCTTAACCCAAAAGTCTGGATTCCAGCGTTCCTGGTGTGTAACTGGTCAAACTTATCCAAGAAAAGTAGACAGTGAGATCTCTAACGTGTTGTCGAATATAGGTGCAACTGTTCATAAAATATGCACCGATATACGACTGCTGAGTAGTTTTCACGAAGTTGAGGAACCTTTTGAAACTAAACAAGTAATACTTTTTTCTAATAATTTGCTTAATGTCCAAACATATTTAAAAATGATTTGATGATAAGAAACGATATGAGTTATGGATTTTCCAGTGTCGTTGTTGGCAATACTCCTAGTAATACTTGTATTCTGATACAGATCTCAGCTATCATAATATACTCCTAAATGACTGCATGATCAAGAACGGTTTTAATTCGAACAAAATTGATATGTCTTTATACGAAAAGTAAGACACTGTTAGAAGATGAGGTTTTATTTCACCATCCAAACAAAATATAGCATTTCTTTTACAAATACATTCATTTATATACAGGTCTATTTGAATTGATTATCCATAACCGAATCCCACACTGAATGTATGCATAACGTACTGGTACACCTAACTGACACAACAAATTTTATAGAAACAGGTGTTAATACCGAACGAAATATCATACTGAATTAATACACGACCTCACACTCCACCCGATCCTAGCAACAACACATCGTGAATGTCTCAGGTTTACTCTTCACAATCATATATATATATATATATATATATATATATATAGTTTATCTAAGATCATTACGATAACAATTAGCTGTTAAAATATCTTCTCATTTGCAAATTTGCTGACTTGATGAATAAGGGATCAAGTTGTAAGTTTGAACTTTGCTTCACATACTTCGTTTTAACAGCTATATGGTATCGTTCGCCTTCAACCAAAAATTTTAGCTCAACACTTGGGACACAAATTCATACTTGGCTACTGAGTTGCATTATACTGTTCCATTATAACATTTTATAAATTAATTTAGGTATCAAGTATATTACACACCTATCACTTCCGTACATATTGTTGATAGGGTTTTCAGATTCAACTGAATGTTATGATTTGATCAGTCAGAGTGTTCCTCGCTGACTCTCAACTATTTGTTGATAACGTAGTGAGGAAACTTTTGATCACTTTCATTGGACTAAGTCTAATGAGCTCTTCCAATATAGAATAGTTTCACCTAGCCTTTACTTCACTTCATTTTGCATTTCTGGAGAGAGCTATAAGCATGGCTTGTGTTTTACAGGTGAGTTCTGAAGCTTTTCGGAAGAATCGAATCTTATTGTTTGCTACAATAATGTTATCAGTACATTCTTTTGGCATTGTTTGCACACAATCAGTGGTAAGACCCATCAAAGTAGTTATGGGTCGATTTCACCTAAGGAAGATCTGATTATCTTTTGTTTCAATAAAAAGTCCCATTAAAGATTTCGGAAACGATAATAAACTCCCTTAAATCATCAATATTATCTCATCGACCAAACAAATGAAATTATTCTAACGCAAAATTATAATATTCTTATGGAGTAATACCTTACACAAGGATAAGGGACGTAAAGCAAAACATGGTACAGACTCATACACTGTACTTTAAACTCTCTATTAGGTAAGTTAACAATACCAACTGACTGAGAAAATTCATATAACTGAAGTAGTATAACTGATTTTCTTACAAGTTCATTATGATTTGTCCTTTGGAAATTCCGGAAAAATCACTTATTAGTTTTTCGTACTTTTGTCAGCATATATGAATGCTTGAGTCAAGATCAAGTCGGAGCATGTTGATTGGTTAATTTCCAACTGATCAGCCCTTTTAGACTGATTTGGATAATACTAGATTTCTGTGTACATTTTATACGAACTCTAACGTTCTTACCACTATATCTTTCGATGTTCGAAATTTTGGAATATATTTTCGTTTTTTATTCGTGTTCTGATTTGGTACTAATCGAGTAAAGTATTTTATCTTAAGCATACCAAACGGTAAACATTATAATAAGCTTTTTGTTGTCCTTCGGTTATGAACTGAAATACCGGTTATAAATCGATTTGCGATTTACAGATCAACTCTAATTTACTAACAGCTTAGACTAGTATAATTTTAGCACTCCAAAATAACAAACACTACAGTTTTCTCTCTGAAACTGCTTCGTTATTCCATAGTTTATCTACACTGGCACATAGCACTTCATTTAGCTCACATTTTGTAGCCTACATGTTTGCTTTGTTTTATGCCAAGTGGCTTATCGAAATCGAATGTATCGATTAATATGAAAAGAAATTATTTTAAGGTTTGATTTTTCATTGCCAGATAATTTACGTATAAGAAATGATTATGTACCATAACTGATACGAGGATTAATATAAATTCAATAGTAACGCTCTATGTTAAACTGTTAAGTTCATTGTCTGTTTTAATAATATTGGCAAACAATACTAGGGAGTATATCTATTTTTTTCGCCAATATGAACTTTATTTCAGTTTAAATGAGTCAAATCATCATTCATTTATGTGATGATAATATTATATATTACTTTTTGTACACTTTGCCAATAGTTCATGCGTTCGTTTTTCATCACTTGAAATGTATATTATTACTACTATTAAGTTCATAACATTTAAATTGTTTGCCATTTTGTGTAGATATGGTATTTTGTTTTATTTTATTTTATTTGAACACATAAATATTGGTACAAGAGGTCACCAAATATATATGCGCCACACAAAACAATGAGAGTTCGAAGAGAAGAAGGGAAAAAAATGAAAAGTAAGGAGCGTTTAAAAAAAAGAACAATAACGAACAGATTAGTGTAAGGTAGTGTAATAATAATAATAATGGGGGAAACAGAAACGTACAATCAGAAGCGATCTTTCAGTTAAGGAAGAAGCAACCACTTTTTATGAAGAAAGTAAAAGAAGATTACAGCAGGATCACCACTGGCTTTTATTCTGAGCCATATCTGATAACGTCTCTAGCCACTGTGTAGATATGGTATATTATATTTCATTCATATATTTATAAAATTTGTCCATACTCCTGTAATTCATTTTAATAGTTTCACTATATCTATTTCATGTTTAATTGTACAAATCTAGATCGGTTCAAGTGCAATGCCATATAAACGTAATCCTATTCGTTCAGAAAGAGCATGTTCTTTAGCACGTTATCTAATGCATATATCGACTTCCATGATTTCTACAGCATCTGTTCAGTGGCTTGAACGTTCATTAGATGATTCAGCTATCCGTAGGATTGTTCTCCCAGAAGCTTTTCTTGCAGCCGATGCATGTCTTACTTTGCTACAAAACATAGCTGAAGGATTAATAGTGTACCCAATGGTATGTCCAGTCTTTGACGATTTGTTTATTCGTTATGAAACAATTCTCTATAGATGCCTTTGTAATTTCAATATCTTAATTGTATTAATTTTTAAAAAAATTATTTCCGAGAGTCATATGGTATACAGTTCTTTTTAATCAGTAAACTAATTAAACTTGAAATTTACTATTGTTCTCCACTGTAGTATTATGTCTCATTAAACTGATATTAAGATAATTAATTTAATTGCTGTTCAACAAAACAGTTGGTCCTATTATTAAAATCGTTAGTTAAAAGTACATCCATGTTATGAAGCTAAAACTAAGTCAATACGTTCAGTGAAGTAGAAGCCCCCAAAAACTCGAACGCAATTAGTTAATGTTTATTCTTAATCGAATTCCAGAAGCAAATGAGAAAAATATAGCCCTACGAACATAAATTCAATCGAAATAATAAAATAACAGCCTTTACCTGAGACACTTTTCATCAAGAAATTCATCAAATCTACAAAAAGAGTTTAAGATAGTGTAGAAGAAGCACATACTTAGTCCACTATAAGGCAATCAAGTAGACTCTATTACTATATAAGTTATTTATGAAAGGCTGAAGGAAACAATCATAAGTTCTGTTAAGATGGGATAATAAAACTTTGTTTTAATGTCAATAAGCATGAAAGAATGTATATATTACTTCCTTAGGTCTGTTACTCCTCGAAGAGGAGCATGAACTGCCCACCAAGATTCTCCATCGAACTCTGTCTTGAACAATCCTTCACAGTTCATTCATTCTTTTGATGACAGTTTACAGTTCTCGACGCAATGTATTTCCTAGTTTTCCTCTTTTCATTGCTTTCCTTTCTTTCAGGATTCCATTTTAGGACATGCCTCTTAATGCAGTTTGTTGATTTCCGCAGTGTATGTCCTATCCATCCGCAGCGTATTTTCCTTGTTCTCTGCTATGGGGAGGTTGTTGTTGTTGTTGACGGTATCCGATCAACGGATCTAGATTATCTTGTGTAGACAATTGTTTATAAATAATTTTACTTTTTGAAGATGGTTACAGTAGTTGACCAAGTTTCAGCTCCGTACAACAGAACTATCTTGACGTTCGTATTGAAGATTCTGAGTTTGATGTTGGCTGACAGTTGTTTTGAGTTCCATATGTTGTTCATTTATGGGAATGCGGCCCTTGCTTTTACGTCTGCACCGGACCCTCCTTGTTCATCGATGATGCTCCCCGGAGCATATATATATATATATATATATATATATATATATATATATATATATATATATATATGTAACCGTAGTATACAGAATATATCAGGTTCGATAGAAGTAATAATGTGACAACAAATTATCTTCTAGATTACAGTTCTTTTCCTTAACAAAGCACGTTAATTAACAGGTGGATAGAGTATTTGTTGTACTTAGGGTACATTTTAATATTTCCGTACTCTGTAAAACAGTTCATACCCTCAAATCAAACACAAATATAATTAGCGTTTTATCAAATAGCATTAGTGTTGAAAGTGGTTGTATTATGTTGTCTGATTACGTGTATATTCTCCATTGAACATAATCTTAAATGTATATTTCAACAACCAATATGGTTTTGTCAATAGTTTGTATGCATAAATGCGCACTTATCACGCTTACATATTTATATTTGACTACCTCATTTTGTCTTGTGACAAGAAAAGTGATGTGTGTATATCTTCGTTCAAGTTGATTCTTTTCATTTTTCAACAGGTGATGGAAGCTAATTTAAATTCTGAACTTCCTTTCCTCGTTGTTGAACGTATTTTGGTCAAAATGGTGTCTGAAGGCGCAGCCAACCGTCAGGAATGCCATGAACGCCTTCGTAAGCATAGTCATGAAGCTGCTGCAGAAATTAAATTAAAGGGTTTAAAAAATAGTCTCATGGATAAGTTACTCAACGATGATTATTTTACCCCGATACATTCGTTACTTCCAAATTTATTAGATCCATCTTATATGATCGGTCGTGCTGTTGAACAGGTAATGATTTTTATCACACCTGCTTTACTGTTAAATATCAATAACAGTTCTATAAAATTTGATTGCACAATCGGGTAGCCTGTTGTTGTACTGGCATCGTTCATGATATTCTGATAAGGAAGATGTTAATGTACGTGGGATCTATAAGATAAAAATATTTTTTAAAATAAATATTCTAGTTTACTAAGAGAGGTGTTATGTAAAAAAGCACGGAGTACCATTTTGAATATAACTCCTTAATTTTCGAAATATCATGGCTTTACCCTATATCCAGTTAGATCGAATGACACTTTTTGTCGTCTCATGTAGATATTTTTCGTAATTTTGACCATTTGTACATTTATTTACTAGTATTGTAAATTTTAAGGTTTTTTTCATGCATTAATATCAACTGAAAAACTGCTGAGAACTAGGAAGCACTAGACAGCTAGCTTTAAACTTGTTAACAACGCACACTTAGAAACTTTTGATTTCTTGATAACTATGATACTCTTAGTCTATTGAGTCGAAATCCAATAAGTCATGATTCCAACACCAGTCATTTTGTTGTTTGATGTGATCATCATTTAATGTCATCGGTGATATCTCTTTCATTTTTGATATGACCGGATTCCGTATGTCGAATTCACACTACAACCCTTTGAGTATATGACTGTCATCAAGATAAATAGTTTTGTGGAAATTATTAGATTTGGAGTTATCTGTCACTGCTGACTGATATCCATGGGTACATTTTACTCATGGTCACGGGATTTCAGTGTACGTCTAACTGATCGAATAATCAATAACACGCCGTGTGTATAACTTATATTCATGTGACACAGAGACAGACCAGACGGGAAGGCCCTACAATTCACATTTTTCTTTACATTTTCTACATGCTCTTATTCCATCACCAGTCTTTTCAAGGTCAATATAACTAAATGAAATATCGTCTCACCAGCCAATAATTTTTTTAGTTTACATTCAGAATGATGGTAAAATATAAGTTGAATTGTCTAGACTTTGTTAGCTGACTATTTAATTTCTTCATTTCTTTAATATTTAGGTGGAAGTATTCTTAGACACTGAAGTTGACCCAGCAATTCACTCATACAAAGATTCTTTAGCATTGAACAGTAATATCACAATTTGATATGACAACTTTATAAATAGTCAAATTGTAGTTAACTTTTACTTCCGTTCATTTCTCTTGACATGTTTGAATAATTACCTTTTGTTATGGATTTTTACTGCAATTTTTCAATTCTTTTGATTTTAATATTGCTCTGATTTCCTCCTTTTTTCCATAATATTCATTAACTTGATCCAATCTTTATGTGGTATCTATAAAATTAATTTTTAGAGTTCCATGATATTGTTGAACGTTGATTAGCCAAATCATGGTATGTTACAATGTTATGGTCAAATTGTATAAGTCATCAAATATAGCTCCGTTAATTACATTAGTTATAGTCAGTCATAAGTAACGTAGAACTTGGCACCTATCTACGTCGGTTCAAGTTGCTAAATGATACCAAAACGGTGAGATCCCAGAGTTGTCAGTCATAAGCAAGGTAGGACTTGGCACCTACCTATATCAGTTCGATTTGCCACATCACACCAGGACAGCGAGACCGCGGAGTGGTATAAGCAGTAACATTACCAACATCGGTAACCAGGTCGTATAACAGAAATCGATCTCATTATCTATGTTCTCAAAATGGTAAAATAATCTACTGAGGTGCCAGACGCCAAAAAGAAGATTTTATCTGTTTGGTGTTATATCCTTCATCCGATTATTGAGCAACTAGATTTTAGATCAACCTACGTTGTACTAGGGTTCTGTACTAGAATTCAGAAAAGTTTATGGTCTCGAGTTTGTAATTTTAAAAAATGTTGCAAATTCATCTATTGGATTTCAACAAGGCTAATATCTACTGTGATGATGATTTCCTTTAATTTTAAGACCTAAGTAGAAAGGACAAAAATTCTAGTTTGATAACTACAGAAGAATCAATCCGACTGGTATAGTTTCTAAAATACTATCCTTTATAATCTTTTGAAGCGTAACTAAGGCTCGTAATGAGTAAACCAGGCTGGTTTCATACCGAGACTTTAATGTACCAACCAAATATTCACACTCCATCAGGATTTAGAGCATGGGAATACTTGCCGACACCCAACTATAGCTGTATTTCTCAACCTCAGGGCCCCATTTGACTCTGCTGACCGGTAGGTTCCTTAATAATGTCTGTCATTGAAAGGCATACGAAAGATGTACACAAACTTGCGGAGGTTCTCTATCCAGATACTATTGGTCAAATCGGATCTTATTAGCGAACTATCATCAAAATTCTCAATGTTTAATTGTGTTCATCATGGTTACTTACTGTCCCTCTTTCTATCTAACTTCATCCTAGATGTACTGGTAGGATTAATACTTCCTTCACCTGACTTTTCAACGATTAGTCTACCAGAAGGTCCACCTATTGAATTAGAATACGTAGACTACATAGTTATAAAAACGCTGACAAGGTGCAGACTTGTGATCACACTGAGCAAAAGTTCAGGCATGTTTGGAATGCAGCGTTCATCTATGAATACATTCCGACTCCATTTTTTCGAACCATATTTTCAACTCTCAATCCTCATTATTATTGCTACTACATTATTTCAATCTCGTTTGATATTCACCTCGTTATATTTATTTCGTCATCCTAATGTGGTTCGCTAACGCACATCTGCGTCAGACTCGGTGTATTGTTTGTCTCTTTTTTGGAAAATGTGTATTTCTGAGTGAACACTAGTTTTACTGCAGAGTTTACATTCGTTGTTATGACTGCATCGAACTTTATGTATTACACTGATCAATACTTACTGTCCGAAGGTAGACACGATTACCAGATCACTGAAATGGCTATTACATTTTAATTGAGATCAGGTTGGCTTATTAGAAATAAAAAATCTTGTTCCTTAAGCGGTTAGACGATTTAGTTCTGATAACCCTTTAGGTAGTGGTGAACGAATCTAATTTGCCGAATATGGTCAGATATAATCCTTGATTATATGTATCTGGTCAATTATGTTGGCGCTGATGTTAACCGGCAATTTATTTGCTTTAATTTACTAAAACATACACTTTGTTTACAAATTCTCCTCAATGTAATATATCTGTAATTCGCATTTAAAACACGTAATTCACCGAAGGGATCTCTATTCGACAAATGTATTATCAGGCTGTATATATCTAACGTTTTAGGGACTGATTTCGTGTGGAAATATGAATACTGAGTGAGCATGTTAATGTCATAAGATTTTAATACTAGGTTATTTAGTGCAAATAATAACAATAAAGGGTTGTATAAATTCTGTTAACAACATGATTAGACTGAAATTCGTGATTACGACCAACTGTCAGTTTTGTACACAGTTCAAAACAAAGTGATATAAATCTGCATAAAAGTAACCAAACCAAAATAGGAACTAGATAAGTCTAGTACAATCAGATTGCGAAGCGGTATGGACAGTTGTAGTTCAAAGAAAGTTCCATTAAAAGTAGGAGGATAATGAGTGCTAGTATTTCAGAACACTGATGATTGATTCGCTTTTATAATTTGGAACCAGATGATCCAGTTACATTATGGTCTAATGTAGGTTCATGTACTCGACTTTAAGCAACCCAATCCGTTTCTACTGATTACTCTATCTGTTATCTCTTGAAGACTCACTGATTATTAACATGTGCCAAGTCACTAATCGGAGGCATAATTCTAATTTGATCCGTTACTTACTCTACAGGATAGTATCTCTGACTTCGCCAATTACACCCCCGACCAGTACTATTATCTTTGATTCGGTAGCTAGGTTCCTATTGGCCCATTATTTGTTAGCCCGTCTCTATGCCCAGCCGTGAGTCCAGAAGTAGCAACCAGCCTCTACTGTATTTATATTCAAGACCTAAGTGGTTTATATACAGAAATCCCAGACCGCATTACATAATATGGGAAATAACAATTATACATAAACAGGTCAAAAGTGACTGTGAATAGGGGAGACAATAATAGATAGGCAATAAAATAAGAATATTAAGTCGTATGTTAGTAGTTTACGGGCTAGTTGGAAGCTTATAATAAAAGAAATACATATACATAACAATCTAGTTACTCGGTAATTACACAACAAAATTACCATTAATAATAATCGGGAAATCCAGTTCCAACTACTATAATATTCTTTCAGTTATGACACTATCCATTTGTCCAAAACCCAAGTAATAGTGAACTTGCGACCCATTAGGTAAGAGTCAAGTGCTTTAACCACTAAGCTACTGTTCTACAAATATAATTATTCAAGGATACAAAATTACGATAAACAAGGTTTTGCGTTTAGTCTTCCTACATTTTTGAATATCTCAACTGCCTATTAGAATATGAAGTGATAATAAACGTCATGCACTTGATCACAGTTAATTTTAGGTGTTGACAAAAAGTTAATAATGGAAAGGTATATAATATAAATTACTTATTTCAACACAAAAACGTGTCTTTACTATTTACATGGTTCGTTTAATGTCACATAAAAAATTGTTATTTGATGCTAATAACATTTTAGCATCTTGCTCCCTAAAATGAGCACTGTCTCGATTGTTTAAAAATGCTTCCTGCATTTCGCGTAGATTCATTTCCAGTTGTTGGCGTAATTTCCGTTTATTTTCTCTGAGAACCTAAAAAATCAGTAAATAAATAAGAGATTTATTTAAGTTGATATAAAACAAACTATCATCATCAAAATATAACAAATGTTTGAGCTACTACTATTGAAAATGTCGAATCGGTTTGTAAACAGCGATCGATTATAATCAGTTTTTCATTATTAATTACAAGAAACCGAATAGAACGATAGTAGTGTGAAAGATTTTGCATTCTGTAGACTTGATGGTTTAATCATGAAGAAATTTGACTGTTGTGCTGTCAATTCAATTCGGTTGTTTGTTTACTTTGAAAAAGTGGCTTACATTAGGTCACGAAACGTCAGAAATACAATATTTCTACTCACTGGGATATAACAAAAAAATATATTTATTATTAATTATCTACCCAATGCTCAGTTTATTAGAAACCATCATGTCCGACCCTAGCATTGATACCTATAATGGCTAAAGCGACTGAAATACTTTTCTTAATAAGAGCTCAATAAACTTAAATGATCTCGTATAAATGAAAGTGTTCCATCACCTGATATACAGAGAAATAAAACCAACTTGTCATCAATACAGTCCAACGAATATTTCAATCATAACAATACTGATTGTAAACCAGATCTACGATTGATTAAAACAACACACTTAGAACACAATGAACATCGTTTCACTATAGCGTATGGAAATAAGCATAATATTATATTTTTGAAAAATAATTAAGTTTCAGTCAAAATGTTCAGAAACAATACAAAAAGCTTATAAAGTAAGAAATAGCATGAGGATAATGGATTTTTTATAAAAGCATTACCCCTCTTACAGTTGGTTATATCATACATATTAAATTACATGATAGACTAAGTATACATTTGAATTCAGGCGTACTTTTTGTTCTTCACGCATACGAATCGAATGTTCTTCTCTTTCTTTATTTATCTTTTCATTCATTAATTCTAAGCGAATACGATGTCTGTGGTTTTCATAGAGACATAAAATTGTCAAAAAAAGTTAAATCAAAAGTGATAGTAACTTTTAAAGTAAATAAATAAATCCTCAATTATATTCATGAAAACGAATCCCCATAAAATAGCCCATCCAGTGATCTAAAAGTAAGATACTTGTAGAAAGATCTGAAGGCCCTGAGTTAGATCTTAGGTGGCCGGGTCTTGGATATGCATTGCCAATCAGTCTCATACTAGGATGAAAAAGTTATCCAGTGTTTTTTTGTTTTTCAATGGTTATCTAATTAAGATCATTGTCTGATGTTACCTAGGAAATTTGTTTCATTATTGGAGTCTAACATAATCATTACCATCGAAGCAACATATCCTCTTGTTCCACAGTGTAGAAAAGTGACAATGACTACCAACAATCGTACGTGTTAATTTTTCATAAACCCTTGATACTTTAGCCATCTATGTTCAATGCATTGAAAAAATATCCCTAGTTTTTAAAAT